CTATAAACTCTTCTTCTTCGGCGACTTCATTTCTGTTATCCCCACATATTAAAACAAGTGTATATTTTATTTTGAATTTAGACAGATGAAGCAAACATCATTTTTAAATCAAGAAAATATGGCTGTTAACTTTTTCTGATTTTATTTTGAAAAAGAAAAACCAAAGAACGAACCACAAGCGGATTCATCTCTTTTTTCCAAACAACTTGTGTTTAAAATTAAAAAACAAATGACCAAAAGTACCCGAACCAGTGATCAACACTTTGGAAACGCAACCAAATACTACTCGTTAGCTAACAGGCTAAAAGAGAGCCACGTCTGGTAAATGATGTCATTTCAAACATCTCGCATGAGAARAACTTCTGCCATCAGAAGTTTGAGTTGCAGCATACGTATTGCAGGGAAGTCGAGAACGAGTTAAAGGGGAACAGCAACAAGAAGGTTAACTCACAGGTGTCAGGGATTGCTACTGCATACGTGAGAGAAGCTGTGTAAAGCTTTAGTGCCTCAGGTGAAGTCACTTGGTTGAGTTTTACCGTTGGGTGACGAAAGCAAAAATAATTTTACTGAAAAAAAAGAACAACCTAACACTAATAAAGAGACTATGTCTGTTTTCTTGATGTTATTCATGTATAAAAGCAGTAAAGTGCTTTGAAATGTTTATTTTTAAGAGTTAAAATCTTGTTTGTTTCTAAGTTGACTTCACTATCAACTCACTATCGTCTAACCTCAAAATGGCCTGTTTCAGCATTTTTGCCAGTTGTAGTACAATGCTGAATATTTAATCTACTTCATAAAAGCTTGGAGAAGATCAAACATCTAGACTATTCTGATTCGCTGTCACATTGAGAGCTTTTTCTTCCCAATTGTCATCAAACTGAGATAAACTTCCAGCTACAGATGCAGAGATGAAAAACTTTGTATCATGGATCTAAAAATTGATCTTTAAGTATAAAGATGATCTTTCTTCTTCTGCATGAGACTTGAACAAAAAGAAATACTGAAGTCAAATCACAGCTCGGGCCACAACACTGTACAAACTTCACTATGACTTAGAGAGACACATTAGTTTTTGATCAGTATTCCCTTTAGGAGAAATCTCATGCACACCCTGTGCTCCAGAGCAGAGGATGCATATATCTGATGACAAATTGATGCTTCTGCCTCTTCATCCACATCTGTTTTCTCTCTTCAGCTCTTCAATTTTTATCATATTTTCAAGTGTTTGGACAAGCCTGCACACGGAGGCAAATGGCTGCGGGGATATTTTTTCGTATTTATTTTTATGCAAAGTACAGGTGTTGCTGAAAAAAAAAGTTTTGTCTCAGTTTTGCCCAAAATAATCACTTAAATGTTTCTTAACGCTAAATGAATTTATAACCATAAATATAGCCACAAAGCAAAATGTGTCTGGCCCACAACGCACCAACACTTTAACACTTGGCCTAGCTAAAGCAAAGAGTGACGGCCATTTGGTGGCCCATGTGGTTTACCAGAGGGGGTCCATGTATGGCCCAGCACCACATAAATCAAATCATTACTGGGCCAGTTGTGGCACGGCTTCGTCCAAGTTACTTACTTCCACTTAYGTCCATGCCAGCTTGTCTCCAATCTGGCCCACACTTGTCTGCTATGTGAGGAGTCTGATTCATCAGTGTATGGGGGTCCGCCAGACCTTACTTACCCCTCCCTGCCAAGTTAAGCATTGTTTTAGGCTGTCTCAATTCAGAGGTTGTAGCTGACRTAGGACACATTTGTCGGCCATTTRTGTCACTGTTCCACGTCGAAGACCGTCCCAATTTGTAGGCGCCCTCTCATGCGGCTGACAAATTTATTTAGGACTGAAGAATTCACTTTTAAATGATAAGTTCATAGCCCTGGTGCATCTCAAAAATCTGGGAAGAAGAATCTAAAATGTGAAACTGGTCCTCTAGTAACTTAGCTGATGACATTTACCCCGCCCCCCCTCAACATCACCTACTCCTCTGAACCCGCCCCATTTACCTCCCCTTTTATGGGTTATCTGACCTAAGCCCCACCCCAGGCTGTCTTGCTCTCTCGTGGGTTGTTTGACTCAATTTTCCTTTTGTGTATTTCAAGCTGTTGTTAAAGGCAGCGCAACTGTGATTGCTGCATGACCAGTTTCACCTGTTCCCCCATGTTTGTCTTGTACGTCTTCTTGAATGGGTGTTACTTAACTGCCCCCTCCCCGCTTCCCTGAATGTACAGCACCTTGTAAATTTATTTCTGTGAAAAGCTCTGTATAAATGAAACTTTACTTACTTACTTATGTTGCAATGAGATGTTACATCAAATGCAATTACAAGGACTGACACTGGAGCCAAACCCAAATCATGAATTATTATTATTATTTTTTTGGTTACGTGTAACACTGTTTTAAAACTAATGAATTTGTTAAGTTATATCTAGAAAAGACAACTGAAGGTATGTGATATTAAACGTATTACCATGGTAAGAGGGCAGCGTGTGTTGTCACAAGCATCCATGGTCTAGAGATCGTCTCATTTCATAGCCATTTTTGCAGCCTACTCTGGGGGACTATGGCCTATGTAGGGCGTGGCCAAAGTGGACCGCAACCCATGAATTGAAAGACAGCCTTAGAGTCAGCACCAGAGGGGATTGTGACTGCAGGATAAGTGGCTAGGACCTAGCATTAGCGATGTAGTGCTGCGCTACAGCTACATCAGAAACTGTTTGAACACCTGCCTCCCCTGGTGGAATTAAAAATGCTACTGCCAGCCTCAGTACGTTTTTTGGGGGGAAAACCCTAGCTGAAATAATGGACTTTTTGTTCAAAGTTGTTTTTAAACAAAGTTAGCACGAGTTAATTTAAAAGCAAACTAGGTCATTTTCTTAAATTCTTCCATTTTTCCCACACAATGATCACTGGCTTTGCGATGACACCGAATTTAAACCCTTTTTTACTGGAGTGTTTGTTACTTTCTCGAAAAAAAACCTTCCTCCAGACACGGTGACTGACACAAATAAATGCTGAACAAACAAACAAACAAACAAAAAATACTGTCTGCTGAATGACACCTGGTCAAACTGTGGCCTTTTTTTTCTTTTCTTTTTGAATATACATGTTTTCACAGCTTCACTGAGGAATACTTTCGAACGAACAACAAAAGCAACCCTCCCTCCCCCGCATTTCCGTTTGGCAAACACGAAAGCAGGATTGGATGTCAATGAGCCCTGCGTGTAAAGAGAACGTGTGAATCAACCATTAGGAGGAAAGAAACAGCACAAGTATACTTTCATGAGATTACAGAATGCTAAAATGTACATAATATGTAATATTTTCTCTTTTTTTCTAAACAATCAAAATCAGCAATGTGTACCCTTTATCTCATAATGCCCTAGCACTAGAACATGTTTGGACACTCTCTGAAATCACAGTATTTTTCAAGACAAAATCATATCTACAATAATCAGTATTTGTTTTTAACCATAATGAAAAAAAGAGAACCCAAAGAACCCACCCCCACCCCCTGGATATGTGCCTAAAAATTAAAATGAGAAAGGAATACAAGTTCAACTCTGGGTGGGAATGCAGCTGTCAAACATTGGATCCATATGGCCCCTTTGATGGACACCACTAGGCCGGAGCTGATGTCTGATAAAGAGAACATTATCACCTAAATAAACCCGAGTGACGACACAGAATCCAAACAAAGCTGTACAGAGCAGAACCAATTTCCGTGCATGTTATCCCATGGGTGATAGCAGAGAGTGGGTTGAGGGGTGCCGGGTGGGGACATTAGGTGACATCTGCAAGGGTGGGACTGGGGATGGGGGTCTACGGTGGTGCCAAGGACCTTGCTCAGCCAATGCTTGAACCGACAATCCACCACTGATTTCTTGAGCTGCAGAAGAGGATTTCTGAGTACAAGTATCAATAAAAAGTCAATGGAACTCTGAGACACCTTTGCTTTCTTCTTTCTTTCTCAAGAGCTTTCATTCTCTTTTTTCCCTTTTTCTTATTATTTTGTTTTATTTATTCTTTTTTTAGCAAAAATATCATGCAGTCTTTAGTTCCAAAAACCCCTGGTGGGATGTTTTGTTTGTTTCAGGAGGAAAAAGGAAACTCAAAGCCTTGAAATTCTTCTTGCACAAGTATTCCTAAACATTCAAGTCATCCTAGTAATACTTTGTACAGCAGAAGGTCCTTCAGATTTCACATGTGGATATATAAATATAATATATAGAAATATGCATATACATATGTTCAACTTGTATATGTGTATACATATTTTGGAACTGTATCAAAGCCAATTTAATGTGCCCTCAAAATATGGCCCATGATTCCTAGTGGGATGCACATCAATTCACATAGTACAACCAGTAGATTAGGTTGAAAAATCCAAAGGTGATGGGGAAAATGACTCGGGACCACTTGTCGATGGTGCTAACATCTGACAGGTTGGGGATTTTCAACTTGAGCTTGGAGGAGCGTCGTCGTAGCCGACAGTTAGCCCGGTTTCGCATTGCGCTCCGGTCCAGCGAATGGTGGCTGTAGCCGTCCCGGGGCGCCATGGGCTTCCTAAACTGCACCCCGGAGCTGTCGAAGGACATGACAGAGTTGCGAGAGTCACTGACGCTGCTGCCCACGTCAGAAGGCATCACCTCGTTGTTCATGTCCAGCGTTGTGAGAAGGATATTTCCATAAGCATCCACCTAAAAGACGGCAGGACAGACACTGGTTAGTGAGGGTTAGGGTCAGGAGAAAGCCCCAAACTCTTTTAAAATTGTCATTCTAACACCCCCAACCATTGTTAAAGGGATAGTACAAATTTTTTGAAGTGAGATTTTGTCAAAATGTTAAGGACAGTTATTATCCCAGGCTATATTCACACTGCAGGTCTTCACGCTCAATTTCAAGCCCGTGCTTAGATCAAAGTTCTTTTTTCTTTTTTCTTTTAAATGTCTTGCCTGCTCAGGTGTATATTGTGGGATGAGCAGTAAGAAAACAATTACTAAATCATCAAGGACATGAAAAATCTACACAGTAATAATGGAGACGAAGCAACTGGACTAGAAATGTGGAGCTCTAACCTTTAAGCTGTGCGACATTGATACAGACAATATCAGTATCTGGATTGGTCTGTGTACCATTACCGCAATGGTGAAAAAAAAGATAATTGCGATATAATCATTCAGACTGCAATCACTGTAAAAAATGATTCTTTTCCAGATGAAAAAGATCAGGGTCGAATTTGAAAATACTTGATTTGTCATGTTCAGAATGTCAAAAGAATAAAACACGGGTAACACTGGCAAAAAAAAAGGTTTAGGTCATTTTTGCCTGCAATGTGAACATTGCCTTACTTGTATTGAACAGTTTGGAGAAATAGAGTTTATCCAGAATGACGAGCTAAAGGCTAGTACTAAAGGGACCATGACCAAAGTGGACCAGTACCTTCTTAAAACAAATTCATCCTCAGCCTTTCATAGAGACTCATACAAATGCTGTTTTATAAACCTTTATATTATCATTTTCATTATACACATTGATTGATTGATTGATTGATTGATTGATTGATTGATTGATTGATTGATTGATTGATTGATTGATTGATAATTTATTTTTTACACAGAAGTGTGATAGGCTTGCTTGCATTAATTTACAGAATTACAATGAAGCCCCAAATTTTGCAGGGGTTATGCTTTTAGAGTATTCTCGAATCATGGAAAAATGCAAATTCTGGATGTGGTCCAAAAAATGCTTTTCTTGGTGGCGTCGTAACGCAGTAAGAACCAAAAGAAAAAATAAGAGAGCAAAAATGTTGGTAGCTATACACAACGTGGTAATGTAGCGGAAATGCTGCGCTCTGAGTGGAGTGTGGGCACATGGTTTGCACCATATACTGTACTTTTAAAAATTCATATGGAACTGAATTTACATTGTTTATGTTGCAAAATTAATAAATCATATTGTTGTCAATAATTTAGCTTGAAGGCTCACAGAAAAGCATGAGAGAGAAGATTGTTTTCCATACTGTAGTTTTTACTGTATTTTATGATCAATGCAAACTACTAGAATAGGTTCTAATTAACCGCTATAAAACTTTTGAAACTATGATTGGCTGTAATTCACTGATTTGCTGCTAGTTCATCAATCTGGTCAGAATAAAACAATTTCTCCAAACAGAGATCATTCAAAGTGCCATCTACAGCAGGTAAGATAATAACTGTTCATAACTTTTCCACAGAGGCCCACTTCAAATAATCTAAACCATCCATTTAAAGTAGTCCAGCTTAAGAAAAATGCAGGGATGATATGAAATGTAATTTCTTGCATGCAACAGAAATAGTTAGCTGCTTCACAAAGACTATTATTATTTTTTCACTTTAAAAACAGTGACAAGTCACTTGAATAGTAACTGACTTTAAAGTGAGGGTTGGCCTACAGCTGATATGATTGCTAAATACATGTACCCCAACTTTTCTTTGTTCTTCGAGATACAGATTTCTTCGCTGTGTAAATGACCTGAAGGTGTTGGTTTGAAACGGCACGGAAATGGAGTCCTTGCAATGTGAAAGAAAAATGAAAAGAAACATTAAAACGACTCTAAAATACAGGCAGATAAGCACATTATTCTCAAAATTACACAATACTTAGAACAAAGAGTCAACTGGAACAACTTTTAAATAAGAATAGCATTTAATATTTTACACACACACACACACACACACAAAAACACGGGGCTTCATTCAGTCTGACCTTCTCAACCACTGATAATAATTATTGAACTGCCAATTCTTCCTGGCTTGCATTGAGACGTCTTTTGTTTATTTGGTCTTGAAACACATTTTGAAATGGTAGCTGAGCGAGAGTGAATAAAGCCTACAGCATTAACATAGACAACAATCTAAATAAGAAATGAGAATGTTTACACCACCGTAGAGTTAGATGAATAGGCTTCTCAATGAAAAAGGCTATGCTCAATAAAAAGCTGTCAGTGCTTGAGGGAGAAGCGATGGATGATGGTGGGTGAATGCATATTAGGCTGTGGTGACATCAGTATGCCTGTAGAGGAGTGCTTCAGGGACCGGTGTTTGTGTCGTTCGATAAAATGACTGTGGTCAGAAATCTTCGGGGCCGAGCATAGTTGTTTCCTGCTTGAACTCTGACTAGACTAGCACGGCAACGTTGAGAAAAGAAGACGCAAACCTGTTCCCTCAGGCGCTTCTCCTCGTATCTCCCACGCTCGTTGTTGACTTTGTTCAGCCTCTCATTGATTTTCTTCTGTTGCGCAGGGCCCCGGCCAAAGAACACGTAATTTACGAAGGCATATTCAAGCAGGGCCAGGAACACGAACACGAAACAGCCCATGAGGTAGACGTCGATGGCTTTCACATAAGGAATCTTTGGGAGAGTCTCCCTAAGGTGGGTGTTGATCGTGGTCATGGTAAGCACCGTTGTCACACCTGAGTACAGTAGCAAAGACAAAGAACCGTGTTTCACAATGTCTTATTTACATTTGCTGGAAACCTTTTCAGAAGTCATCTTATTTGTGTGGTAGTCTTTACTTTGAAAGCTTACATTCACTCATATTTCACATAAATGTCAATTGATTTCTGAGCTTTTAGCAATGCTTGTTAAACTTTTTTTTTCTTTGTCAGAATTATTGCATCATAAAGCAGAATAAGAACATAAAGCAAACATTTCAGACTTTATTTTAGGTTCATCCAAATCAACAAAGGAAACAAAGATGCAGCTTTCCTGGTTAAAAAAAATGTATTTTGAGTGTTCAAAGTTATACTTATATCTAAAAAAAATTGCTAATTTTGAATATCTAAAATATAGTGGTGTAAATCACAGCTTTATTACTATACGATACTTTTAAGGGCTGCACCTATCAAAAATTTTGATGGCCAATTAATTTGATGATTATTTCTTCGAYTAATCAATTAGTCACCATTATTTCTGTCACAATGTCCATCTACGCTCCTTGTTGGCACACCTCCTGTTCCATCTCATCTCACCTGCTCACACCTGTTAATGTTGCCCTGTTATCCACTCTTTCTACCTTAACATGACAAGCTCCCATAACAAATTAAAGAGCCATAAAACTTAATCTTAATAGATCAATCACATAAATTTCAAACATCAATACACGTGGTCATAAGAAAATTTTAATTAAATACAAATTGATTAAGTAGCTTTTTAAAACAAACAGCTAATGTAAAAATAACTGAAAATAGCAGCATGAGGGGCTGTTAACCTGCCCTGCTGCAAGTCCAAAATGAACTACCATAAATAACTTTGGTTAAAGGGACATTCAGGTTCATAAAAGTAAAAAAAAACAACAACAAAACAATCCATCTTGTTAGAAATCTTGTTAGGTCTGGCAGTCCAAAGTTTTAAATAAGACTAAATGCAAAATAAATAAATAAATAAATAAATAAACCGAATCTGCATTTGGTTTATCTTTAGTAAAAGGTAGCCACATTTGGAAAGTTTTAAGTCTTGTTTTCCCCTTCAACACGACCCTTTCTTTTTTTTTCTTTTCTGCTTGAAAACAATGAGATTGTAGATGTGTATAATTTCAGTTCTGATTAATAAATAKATTTTTGTGACCTGGAGAAATTCCACCATTGAGACCTAAGATATTTCATGGAGATAGGAGTGTGATGTAATTTCTTAGTACAACAGCCTGCCGTACACTGAGACGACTTGAGTGAGCATGCTCAGACGTCAGGCGACATGACACATTTGCWCACCGGACAGAACTTCTTTTCCTCCAAAGCAACAGCTTATTTTGTTAAATTGAAGCATAAAAATCCCTAATCTGAAACATGACTGATGAAAGTAAACAATGTTTCTTTTAACCTGCTGGTTCTGTTTGCTTCATTTGTGCCCGTAAATGTGTAATATTTGTGCAGGAAATATAAAATGCATGACAGATGTGTGTTTTTCATTTCTGCCATAATGACTGAAGTCTTCCGGGGACAGTTGGAGGYTTAATAATGTAGCAGTGCTTGTGTCTTACCCAGGGCCACGCGAGCTGCAGAGGCATCATAATTGATCCAGAAGGAGACCCAGGAGAGGATGGTGATCAAGATGGAGGGCATGTATGTCTGCAAGATGAAATATCCAATGTTTCTTTTAATCCTGAAGCTCAGCGAGAGCCTTGGATATGAACCTGCGCAGAGATAGGATGGAGCGATAGTTTAGAGAACTCAAGGGCAAAAGTGGAAAACAAATTCAGAGAGAAATGGACAGAAGGAGGAGGGGGACGTCGGCACGACTCGGGAGTTTTGACGTCTGCACTTTGACAATGCACGGGGTAGTCATTTCTCCATTTGTTCAGACGGAGCACTTAATTTCCCCAAAGCGATGGATTCCTTTCCAGGGACAAGTTCGATTCCAATTAAACATGGCAGAAAGTCGCAAACACGGCACATTTTTCTGCAACCCCCTATCTCAGCAGGCAGCCCCAGCGTCCCTCTGAGGATTGTCACAGTGAGCGGCTCGGCTTTGCTTTTGCACTTTCTGTCCTCTAAACATTACCAAAAGGGCATTTTCAAGAGGATAATTGCTGCTCACGCCTTTTGCACTTAAACAATGAGAAATGTGTACACAGCTAGTGGTTCAATGTAAACTCTGTGCCAGCTGGATGTGCCAATTAAAACCTCATAAAAGTTTCAAGTTTTTTTAATCAGTAATGTAATCAAAAGTTTGGCATATGAAAACTTGTGGCTTTGACTGTAATAWGAATTAGAGCAAGTCTCTACTGCTTGGAAAGGAAGCAAATAAAGCAGCAGAGTCTGGTCGTTTAAATTTATGTTTCGAGTGGGTGGAAATACTGAAAGGGTCAGGACCCTTCTGGTTTTAAAACAACCAATAAATCATCTAAGGAAACTATTTTTAAGTAAAATAAAAACAKAATGCAAAATTAWGTGYCCCTCCTATTAGCCCAAGAGTGGTTTGACCCATTGGACCCCTAACTTTCTTATTATTTTATCTTTGTTTGTAGATGGCAACAGTAATATCTATAATATTTGGTAATGCTTTCTTTTACGGTACCCTTATTACCATGTAATTACAAGGTAATAAAAATGTAATTAAATGGCAATTACTACCTTATTACTATGTGATTACGGGGTAATTAGGGTACAATTTTACTATGTAATTGTCTGCAGTAACATAGCACTTGCCTGGTAATGTATTACAATTCACTATGTAACACCTAAATAAGTAGTAAGTAATTTGGACGGTTTTAAAGTTATATTTTATTGCAATTAACCACTAACCCCAAAATTTAGTTGCATTCTTTTGGTTATAAATATAGTGTTAAGTTACTATTGAATAGTAATTTGATTGTAGTTACCCAATAAAGGTAGTTTTACTAACAGTAGTTTTACTTTTGAACTATAATTACCATGTAATTACATGGTAATAAGGTAGTAATTACTTTTAATTACATTTTTATTACCTTGTAATTACATGGTAATAAGGGTAACGTAAAAGAAAGTGTTACCTAATATTTAAACATATCTCTTATTAGAAAGAAAACATATCTTTTTTATCATATTTTTTTACAGAGAAACACTACAATGAAATAATGTCAGGAATAGTTTTGTATGATTTAGTGGAGTTATTTGTCATCTTATGAAACCTCATAYTTATTTAGAGATTATATTCTTGTATGTTACAGATCAGTGACCACAGAAATGAAAACTCCTTCCATTATCTTTACCCACTTCTTCCTCTTAGGGTCACGGGGGTCACTGGTGCCCATATCCAGCAGTCATTGTGCGAGGGGTGGGGTACACTCTGGACAGGTCTCAAGTTCATCACAAGAGCACGTAGAGACAAACAACCATTCACTCTCTTACACCTAGGGACAATTTAGAGTTACCAAATAACCTAATAGTCATGTGTTTTGGTCTGTGGGAGGAAACCGGAGTGCAAGGATGAGAGAATAACGTTATAATATGATATAAAACTCAAAAACATTGATTTTACATTATCTTGCCCCTCTAAGTAAAAATAAGATTCCAGCCAGTCTTACCTGTGGTAAACCTGACCTCTCTGGACATTAAGTGGAGCTCGACAATGGAGAACTGAGGTAACTCCAACTTGTCGACGCCAGTGACAGCGCTGTCATTTCCTTGCCAGAAGAACACGATGTCATCTGTGGTGTAACCATCTGTGTCACAGTCACAGCAAACAAAAGAGCAGAGGAAAAGTTAATATGATGGACTGAAGTTACTTCAAGTCTTTTGCATGAGAAGAAATAAAGAGCAGAAGGTTGTCTGACAAATGYAACAATATCATGTTCTTGTCAGCTTCTCAGTGTTGTCGAGTTACAGATTCGACCCTGTTTGGACAACAGACTGTTATCTGAACGACATGAAGAAAGCAGAAGTTTCAGTGCTCCAAGGCGGGCTCATAGTTAATTGCTGAGTCATGGTTAATAAATTATCCATAGCTGTCACTCTCAGAGTCCTTTTTTACTTGTAAAGCTAAAGTTCTGAGCAGTTGATGTGTTTTGTAGTGGGGTTCCATGGAGTGTGTGTCAGCAGTCAGTATTTTACCTGCAGTAGATAGCGCCCAGAATCCTTTCTGTTTAGGAAAATAAATAAAAGTTTTGACTGATTTGAGTGAAACTCTGCTGCCTTAAATCATCTCAAAATTCTAAAATGTTATAGTGGTTCATACAGAGACCACAGAGACTAGTGAAGAAAGCTTCACATGACATTAAATTCACATTAAATGATTATTTAGACATAAAACATCCACCCATACATTTTTTTTCTGTTCAGAGTTGTGGAAGGTGCTTATTTCCAGCTGTCATTGTGCAAGAGGTGGGGTTCACACAGGACAGGTCGCCCTCCATCACAGCACCACCTGAACATGACTGGCACAGATAACCATTTGGGTTCTCATTCATACCAACTAGTAAATAACCTCCCAATGCAAAAGGAACAGAGGTTATTAAGAAACAATGAACCCACTGTGACACCTTTGAGAAAGGAGTTGTTTTAAAATAGCAGAAAGTGTCTTTGATCTTGGTCCTGCCATGACTTGCTGTTAACTCTACTGTCCCATCAAAACATTTTTTTTAAACTTCAAACTAAAATGACTATGGCTGTTTTCTACAACAGGTCTACATTATAAAAATCACTATCAAAAAATGGGTTTATATATAAAGGCAGACACTTCAATTGTTTGAGTAAATTAGGCTTTCTAGTTTTTATATTGCTTAAAAAGATAGCTTCCTCAAATGATTGGGGTGACCTGTGGGGTGGCCCAAGATTATTGTAAAGCAGGCAAGGCCACCATCGGTCAACTCCTTGCTCTGCCATTGCACCTGATGGCAGATAACCAGTGGTGGGCACCAGTCCGCTAAAGCGCAAATCCACTAATAGCAGACCTAAATATTTCATTTGCGCTTTAGCGGTCTTACTAATTTTTTATAACTCATGAATGGATCTGCACTTTCTGAAATTAAAATGCAGTACTGCTAATAACTAATTATCTACCAGTCATCATTTTCTTAAACAGAGGAAGGTAGTGCTGTCAATGAATCACAACACACATGACCTGTCCAATAGCACCCCTCCCAGCAAAAATGGTAAACGTTTGTAATCCATACTAAAATTTAGTATGTATTGATTTTTTTTACTTTAAATCAGAGCTCCTTTTTAAAAAAAAGTTTAAACCCTGGGGCTCAATACTTGACGTAATTGGTCGAAGCAATTCGCCAGCAGGGTTAGACAGACTAGTGGTCAACTGGAGCAACTACATGGAAAACTTTCATTCGCCGTCACAAATCAAATCCGTCATGTATACCCAGAATGCCTCGCTTCAGTTTTCCAATAAACAGTTTTAAAATTGCTTAATTGATGCTTCTTTAATGAAAAATCTACAACAAACAAAAGAAAAAGATAAAGAAGTAGTCGAACTAGCAATCCTCAACAGCCTTTTAATTTTTACACCTGGAGCTAAAGGTCTGTTTCAGGAAATCACATCCCCAGCATTCGGTGCTTGTAGGATTAAGCTGTACAAGGGTTCATACACCGCTGGTTGGCAGTGTTGTACATGTATATTGTACATGAATTGTTGTCAGCTAGTGAATGTCTAATTGAACTTGTGCTTTAAAATTAGTTTCTGCTAATTTTTCTGTGGCATAAGCACTTTTGAAATTGTGGAACTAAATGTTTTCATAAGTGCTTTAGAAATCATGGAGCTACTTTTTGGGTTAGCGCTACCCATCACTGCAGATAACGTTGCTCCCTATGTTCACCTGGAGCTGTCACTTTGTGCCTCCCTGGAAAAAAATAAAAATAAAAACAGTTCTTAAACACTCACATTCCCTGATCAATTCCAGTCCAGAAAAGCACTTCTCTTGAAAACTATTAACTATAACATAATTTAAATCCATCAGGGACAGGGGACATTAATGTGACATTTACTTTATTTTGATTATTAAAGTTTATTATCAATTATTTCTGAAAGTTTCATTGTGATAAGAGGTGGTGTTGAGAAAAAAAATGGAAGATGAAGCTGCACCTCATGTACCACAACCAGCATGAATATTCATCAACATGTGTCATGTGCTCYGACGCCGCCACACGCTCTCCCCTGGCAGTCCAATCTGAAAGTGACCACAGCGGTGGATTTATGTCTACGGGCTGGCATGCTTTCACTGCGGAGCCATTCCTCAGTCCGGGAAGTGTTACCACATTTCACATTCTACTACCCTACATGCAGACCTGGATGGCATTAAATTTGCTAAGGGACGAGGATTCATTACCATTAAATCTCTCTGTGAGGTTGTAGGGTAAGAAAATGTGACATTGTCCATGAAATTGAAGCAACTGCCTGCCCAATCCATCAAACTGATGGTTAATGCGCACAAGTCAGCAGTGCATAGCATTCCATGAGCATAAACAGCAGATATTCTTGCAGCTTTTGAATTCATGGCCTGTCCATATTTC